AGTCGCTCTCTCTCAGCCCAACTCACCTCACAGGGTTGTTGTGGGGAAAATAGGAGGAGGAGGGAGTATTAAGTATGTTCGCCGCTTTGAATTATTTATAAAAACAATAAAGGTGGGATTTGAAAAAAACATCCTGGAAAAAAAGGCAGCAGCCAGCCACTCCAGTTTCACTGCTAAAATTACGTAGTCGTTAGGAGCTGAGTTCCATTTGAGAAGTCTCAGGAGGTGGAAGCACCTAGCCAGTCTTGGCTGATCTCAATAAAGTGGGATCAGATCTGAATAGTACTTGGAGGGGAGATCCAAGTATTATTCAAGAGCTGTAAACTAAACTTGGAAGTTTTAAAAAATTCCCAGAAGAAAGCAAAGGCAATCCACTTCCAAATCACAGCCATTTCATAATATGAATTACAAGGAGAGGGGAGCACAAGACAATTGTTGTTTAACCTTATTAGGCTCTAACAGAGCACGCTGACTTAACTTCTCTTATGTAAACTGCCAGGACTACACGCAGGGTGTGGGGACCTATGGTCCTCCAGATATTCTTATACTGCAACCACCATCATCCCTGACTATTACCCATGCTGTCTTACACTGATGGGAGTTTGGGATGGGAGTCCAAAAGATTAGAGGTTTCCTCTCTTGCAATAATAACTTGCCCCCAGGCTCTACCTACAACAGAAGGCAGAAAGCCCAACCCTACTCATATTATAGCCTATATTTCCCTATCAATATCCATAACTGAATCTGACATATCATTTTAGCACCCAGATTTGCTATTCCTAATCTCAGTTTTAGCACTACCTAGTCATGTGTTAGCAATACACCCCTTCGAGCTATAGCTCTCCTATTTCTATTAGACGTGTTGTAAGTTCTTCTCATAAATCCACAATCCTTGTAATGAAACTGTTGTCGGAACAGTTTCATCCTTACAGATCTCACTCTTTTCCTCACTGCATATCCTTTCCTTCCCCATGTCAGCCACCAAAAGTAATTTAGCAAGTTGGGTGGCCAAGAAATCAAATGAATGAATGAATGAATGAATGAATGAATGAATGAATGAATGAATGAATGCTTTTCTGTAGCATCAGCATTGTAATCTATGAGGAAGAAAAGTCTGTATCTATGCTAGATATTGTGAAGGCACTTTGTAAAACCTTAGATGTACCAATACATGTAAGAAACTAAGCTTTTTTTTCCAACTCACACCTTACCATGTGAAATTGAAAATATTTGATCATTTACTGAAGGTATTTGATTGGCTTTGAGATTAACTCGCAAATATCAGTATTTACTGAGTTTCAGACATTTATCCTGGCACACTGTAGTGAGTAAGGAAGATGATCTTGACAGAGATGTGCAAGCTCCATTGCCAAAGCGACAAGGAGTAAAACATTTTTTAAGTCTAGAATGTCCAGATAACAATTGGACTTGCAAGGTTCTGTTATTATAGCCAATCTCAGTAAAAGTAGTTTTAGCCTTCCTGTGGAGTTGACTTCCTGGTCTGGTCTACCTAATGGGGCTAACACACACTTTTTCTTTGAGAAGCATTTAGTCAACAGTGGCTTCTCAATTAAAGTACTGCTGAGAATCTTGGAGTCCACATCTCCATCAGAGATGGGCAACTCAAGGCAACTAAGCCATATATTTCCTTCAGCACTTTTTGGGGTATCTCAAAATTGCTAAAATTCATGCCACCAAAATCTGGCAACTGTTGAATAAAAATGATGCAATTTTCTTCTTTCTCTCTGGGAAAAAACATAACTATGATAGAACTAAAGCAAGGAGTTTTGCTTAATTATTCTTTTTTTTAAAAAGTCACCCCTCTTCCAATGGAGAAAAGGGCCAGCCATTCCACCTGTCTTCACAGTCATGTCATTTGTGGCCTTGGCCACCCAAAAATTTGGAGGTGGGGGAGGGAGTGCAGATTCCAACCACAAAAAAGAAAAAAGAAAAAAAAAGCCTGTCCTGATCACCACTATAATTTTATGTCTGTTTCATGTCTTATTTATCTGTCTTGGTTTTCAAATGCAGAAGAGTTGGGAGCTGTAGCACTGGGAACCTACAGCACTCTAAATTGCCCAAGGATCTTTTGGGGTAACCGTAAAAGTTAAACGTATTTTACATTTTGAAACATTACCAGCATCATGGCTCTCCGAAACTCTGCCACAGGAATTTTCATGTCACCATATTTATCCATACTCCTAAAAAAGTCCCAAAGCTTTAGGTTGTTGGCACCTAAATAGTTCTGGGGATAAAAGAAAAAAGAAGAGAATGAGACATAATTCAGCATTTTAAACCACTTCCCTCAGGGTGGCATCAAGTGTCTTTGGATATTCAGATTAAATCTGCCACGACATCTGCTTCTTGCAGTTCTAACATAAAGGCTAAGTTTTCTATTGCTGAAATTCAAATGTGCCCTCTAAATATGACTCTTTGATGAAGTTTTGGTGAATTTCTCTGCTTTTTGACTGTTAATACTTAAGTAGTTATTAAACCATGTTCACTTTTCATTTCAGAAAACATAACATTGCTTTGCCAAAACTATAGTTTCCTCTTTACAACGGATCATTTTCCTTAAGCCAGGCTCGATGCGTACAAGCCAAACTTCCTCAGTTTTAATGCTTCTTAGCTCTGATCCTGCCATTCTGGAACTGCCAGCTGCAGGCTCAAAAACCTCATAGATGCTCCTTAAGGGTTGTTTCTCCCGATGGACACTTTCAGATGGGTACATCTCTTTTCAGTAGCACATTCATCAGATTTCTACATTGATTGCCAATCCCTTTTTTTAGATCAGGATGGGCAATATGTAGCCAAGGGTTACTGGACTGTAACTCCCACCACCCGTCAGAAGAAGCTATTTGGCCTGGATTAATAAGGACTGAAGTTCAGCAACTGCTGCAGAATCATAGGTAGTCCTTGTTTAGCGAGCACAATTGGGACTGGCAATTCAGTTGTTAAGTGAAGTGGTTGCTAAGTGGAACATCACGATTTTACAATCTTACTTCAGCTTTCCTTTGCTTTACATACCCACAAAGGTCGTAAATACAAAAATTGGTTGCAGAGTTACTTTTTCATCAACACTGTAACTGCAAATGGTCACTGTACAAGGCAGTTGCTAAACAAGGACTACCTGTATATCTATGTTCTAGACAGTCAATCACTTACAGTACAAAGTGGATAGCATGTTGCCATTTCATTGTTGCTTGGCAGTACAACAATGGAAAGGCTTTCATTCTATACAAACTTCCTAGGTGCAAATGTAAATTACAGATAGTCCCCAGTTTAAGAACAAGTTCCGTTCCCAAGGTCTATCCTTAAGACGAATTTGTATGTAAGCCAGAATAGTATTATTGTATAATACTGTATAAGTAGTAGTGTGTAATGAACTTGTGTATTTAACTTGAATCACTGTGTACTTAATTCAAATTTTGCTACAATAGGCTCTGTTTTTAACTATGGATCATTCTTAAACCAGGTGTTCTTAACCTGGGGACTACCTGTATTGGTTGATTGGAAGAATTGTCTGAAGCTAGATAAGATAACTTTCATAGTGGTGGCACTTTTAATACATAGTGCTTTTTCCAGAGAATTCTATCTGGCCAACTCTGCTTCCTATTTTAGGTGTAGCCTTAAAACATGTTAGTCCAGCAGGCAATTGGGGAGCACATCAGAGGCATTGGGTGGGGGAAGGGCAAATAATGAAAGTAGCATCACAACTTCATGACATAAGCTTTGCCTCTTTCTTATGTGCATTGTGATACTCCACGTGCTTATGAAAAGGGCAGAACCTGCATCATAACAGCAATGTGGCTTTTGAATAAATAAAAGGTTCAGTTCCTGCAGGTACTTCTGGAGCACATCCTGGTGATTGCTGCATCAGGAACTATTTTCCAACTGTTCCATTTAATTTAATAAATTCTGGTTCGCTGACCTGGGTAGTTTAATTATGATGGGCTTTACTGATGCTTTAATGTCTGCTATTCTATGGCTCTATGGACCAGGCCACAGTAACCAGCCAACAAAGGCTATGTTGTCCCTATGGAGAGGCTATCAAAGCAGTCGGAAGATGTTTCTCTGATCTGTTAAAGACATATTCAAATGGGTTTGCAAAAATTTAGAATAGGGTGGTTCCTTTCCTCTCAGCTACTGATCACATGTCATGTAGGAATTAGGCCCAGATTAAAGCATTTGGCCTTTAGAGAGGCATATGAAAAAGTGTTGAGAAAGTTTGAAATAGAGCTTAACATTCTCAGAAACCTGGCAAATGATAACATATTTCTGAAAGTATATGTGTTTGTATGAGTGTGTCTTCCATATATATGTATATGGAAGCTAGTGTGGTATACTGGTTAAGGTTCTGGGCTAGGAGTGGGGAAACCCAGGTTCAAGTCTTCCCTTAAGCATGGAAGACAGCTGAGTGACTTTGGGCCAGTCACCCTCTCTCAGCCTTAGACTGGGAAATTGAAAAACATCTGTCTGCCAACCCACACTGCACCACCATGATAGATTATGATTCACAACCTTTAATGAACCTTCATCCTGCAATAGTTGATTCAGGCTGTACCCACACATACAATACACACTAATTAATAAAGGGACAACAGATTAAAAAAAAAACTATGCATTTATTTTTAACACTTTGTTCCAAGCCCTGGAGCAATTTGCAGCTAATCCACTACTATGTCTTTCATTAATGCAAGGTTTGAATGACAAAGCATTATTCCAGATGCATTGCAGGGGGATAGGGGAATTGGCCATGCCACAGCATCTTCTAAACCAGTGTTGTCCAAACTTGGCCACTTTAAGATGAGTGGACTTCAACTCCCA